CCTCTCTCCGCTCTTCCTCTCTCTATATATCTCCATCTCTCCCTTCCTCCGCTCACCCTTCATCTCACTCTCTCTTACTCCTTGTAGCCGCCAGAGGGGATAGACATGGATGTCCAGCGTGTTGCATGGGTAGAGTTGGGGGATACGAGAAGAATATAGGACTCCATAAAGATTCCCCGCTAAATTTTTTTGTACTCAGCATCACCCTATTTTTTATTTTAACTGATATATCCAAATTTTCTATATTTTATAAAATGACATTAACAATGCTTCTTCATCTCAAAATGGACAGCAACTGCATCAGCAATATCAGCCATCACATCCAATCCCATCTCTGCCTCTCTCTGCCATGCGCCTGCGACTGCGCCCACCACCTCACCCCGCTACTCAATGCTATTATGTGTTCACAGTATGGTCAGACATAAACTAAGCATCGTGACTTGTAAAATACTCGCCCATTAAGAAATGAAATATGCCTACTAAATAGTTTTTCTTTAGTTTACATTAGTGAGGCCTCACATGAATATTGCTCTGTATCAACAAAAACTCCATCATAGAATAATTAAGGGAGGTAGGCTACATGCTTGTATTTCACCTCAGAAAGGATTAAAGAATCGTCTTCATCATAAATGCTACCTGCCAAATAAAAGACATGATACCCGCAAAATAAAAGACATGCTGAAGAGGAAGGTTGTAGTTATATATGATGCCATCTAATACTTGTATATGACCATGATGTAGTAAACGCTCTACAATGTTGAGCTCATTTTTGACGTTGAACTTGTTGATATCATCCCGCAGATGTTACACCATTCACAAATGCAAGAAAAGCTCAAGGCACTGAAATCAGCTGAGGTGATATAGAACCCATGAGTACAAATTAAATGACATAGATGTCGTATGAATCGGGTTTCTCACCTTGAGGCAATGGTTGAGCATAGAGGTGAGCTTGTTGATGACCTTCCTACAGATCTTGAGGGCAGAGCCACCGACAACATCCTCTAACGACATCTATGATCATCGAAGTCGGTAGCGTTCTTCGTGCGCTGCTCAAGGCGAGCGGCGGACTTGATAAGAACTTTCTTGGCCACAGGCTTCAATGTGGCTCGTGTTGCTGCAAGAGGAGCAGGGGCAACAGATATATAAATATACATTACTCAAATAATTTACACTCCAATATAATAGAGCCACCACCCTTACCTTAAATATTTGCCTGCACGAACCATATAATACTACAGAAATTAGGCAAGTCAACACCAAATCCACAACATGGCGACATTAGTCAACACTCACAAATGTACATATACATAACTAAGTTCACCAAGGATGTATATACCATAGTTTGTTTATCCAACAAATCGACATTTTAAACAACCTTTGTAGCATATAACCTTTCTCTTTCTCAAGATATTGTCAGTTCAATTGAGGCTTAGTGCTTTATTGAAAGCTGTCACGTAGACCATCACTTTAACAAGGTCATACTAAACATGTTGCTATTAATGACTTTTCACATGTTGTATGATCACTGGTATCTTCTATATTTAAATAGCTACCCCCTCTAACTATTTTTCTCAACATGCAAACATGCCGCATCATCACATAACATGCATGCGAAAAGGCCCACCCCCACTACTTAATTTCCAAAGTTACATACAATCATCAATGTGCAGGGTGTCACCTAGTATATTAAACATCAGAATGCTACCAACATACTTAATTTCCAAAGTTACATACAATTGATTTCTCGAATTTTCTCAGGGTACAATTCTTCTAAAGATCACAGAAAAATACACAAGCATTAAAAACCACAATACATGACTTCTATTAGTTTTTGTGCCAGAATTAGAAACAAATCACTTCCATTCTTGTGTATCATGGCAAATTGGCAATGGCTCACCTCAGCTCGATGTCGTCCTCCGTCTTTGTGATGTCACTCCTTTTGGGTGTTGCTTCTACAATCATCAACGTGGTAAGCAGCGCTGCTGACCACAGTCCTCACAAAAAAGAGCAGCGCCTGGCATTCATGAACCTAATAACGAATCAAATCTGACATTTGTCAATTTTATCAAAATGTGGAGCATGAAACTACAGGATAAAATTATAAAATTCTTTCCATGAACCAAAAAAAA